TAAATTTATATACTGATAAAAGTGTGGTAAAAGAAAACACATTTTATTTGAAATATTTAAATTTATTAATTTTTATATGATAAAATAAGCTGGAAATTCCGAAATTATTTTATGGTTATCCATTCTACTAAAACAGAATAATTAAGCGTTTATTACAATTTTTATGCTATGTATACATTTAAAAAAAGAAGGTTTTGACTTTATAATAAAAAAAATCCAGTCAAGTTCCTATTTTAAGTTTAAAAATATTCCACATCAAGTATTATAAGATAGCAATTAAAAAGTACCTAAAAATGACTCATTAAAAACTAAAGAAAAGTCTCATTACGCAAAACAAAAAACATTATACAGAATACATGGAAAAAGTCTAGATAATGATAGTGTTACTATCATTATCTAGACTTTTTCCATGTATTCTGTTAATGTTTTTACTACTATATAGTATAATAATACTATATTGCTAAAATAACAGTCACACACTGACCACCCTGAGCTCCAAGATCTAAAGAAGTTGAATGGTGTTAACGCTGGAAAAGTGTTACAATCAAACATTGTCTGTGGAGACATAACTGATTTTATAAGTGAAAAAAAGAAAAAATAGATATATTACTCTACTTTTAGAAAAACACCGCAAAGAATTGGTCAGCTTCGTATATATGTATATATTTCATATGCAATGAAAGCATAAATTTATCCAGAAAAGTTTGTTTGATTATATACCTTCGTTATGCATTTTATGATTTTCCAACTAACATATTTAAAGAGTTTCTAAGTTTGAATGCAGTCAATTCTGATGAAATTGCAACTCAGATCCAGGTCTCAGAACTCAGGTCTTATTCGGCGTGGAAGTTTGTCTTCGTAAGATTGGGAGAATTCTCAGCACACGATGGGCTGCCTCATCATTTAGAACAGTAAAAGCTGTTTGCACAACTTCAAAACTTAAAATTTGTATTTCATAAATGCTTCAATTGATCCAACACGGGACACAAAGGAGAGATCCAAATTCAAAAGCCTTGCACAGAAACTTGCAAGCGTGTTATTTCTCTAAAATTAGCACTAATATATGATAGATTAGAAGAACTCAAATCAACTTCAGAAGTTTTACAATTAAAAAATATCGGACTTGCAAAAGCAAGTGATCAGGCCATTCTCTATCAGCAGCTGATAATAAGTTTTAAGTCACGCATAGAATCTGATCATGAAAATCATATCATAACCCAATGAATGCAATCCTTTGAAACATATTCATAACCTGAAAATAAACAAAATAAATTACAAATTTCCTCAGAGTATTCGGAAACTGTTCAGAAAGGATTATGCAATTTTTTGCTTAATATTTTTTCTTTACAAAACAGCAGTTTTTGACTTCAAGGATCATCTTAATGGCCAAGAACATGTATGAATTTTGTGTGATTTTATTTTTCCAACATAGGAGCGACTCAGATTACAAAGCTTAATCATCACCCGAGAACTCAAAATACAGCAACAATGCAACAAACAAAAATGTACCTACATCAAAAATTTGAATGTCCAAAGTCAAAAGGCGAATAGGTTATTTTGCATTCCTTTAAACACGCTTTGAACTTTTTAACGCCGCTTCACTTGATTTCTTAAACTACTTTAACCCCTGAATATATATATATATATATATATATATATATATATATATATATATATATATATATATATATATATATATATATATATATATATATGTCATTATAAATCTAGAGTATCTTTAGAGCTTTAATAATGAATTTCAAATCAATTTTGGGTAAATATGCAGTCAAGCAGCCTAAAATAATCCTATTTTACGTTTTAAAAAAGCGGAGAAGAGTGTAAAAACGCTTATTAATAAACTAATAATAATAAACGATAATAATAGTTATATATAATGATGATTTATAAGTGTATAACAACAATAATAATAGTTATATACAATAATTATTTATAAGTTTATTTTATATATATTTTAATTTACTTTAACATTTTTCACGGTTTGAAAATTCTGACTTTTTTGCCGACTAATTACCAAAATTGCCCTTTTGAGGGTTGATTCTATATATATATTGGGGACTCCAAAAGATGAGTTTTAAAATTCTGGATTAAAATCCGGGAGATATTTAGCTTTTTTAGATACTTTACAAATATTTTTTAGCAAAAATAGATTGTTGTTTACCATACTCTAACGATTGCGACACAACCAATTTCTTTTGGACAGTCATTTAGGATATTTCCTTTAAATAATCATTAGTAATTGCTACAAAAGTAATTCCCTCTAGACCAATAATTGTCACTTTTTTTTCAGACAATTTATAACTATTTCCTTGAAGACAAATTTAGCACAAAAAATTTGCACATAATTGAAATAAAAACATGTAGCACTAAACTTATGTTAGTCAATATGCAAGAAACTATAAACAGTTTAATAGTATATAATTAATTTTAATATATTTAATATATAAACGTAAATAAAAGTTACAAATATCAAAATGACTTTCTTTCTTCATATCACGCTAAAAAATATTACACTTACAAACTAAATAAAAAGAATAATGCATAGCTATTGAAATCATTGCTATTTTTAGCTATTTTTAGAAAAAAATAAAAATGCTTAAATTTTTCAAAGAGATAACAGAGAAACATCAAAATATTTCATTTCTGAGATTCATCGCTTAATTTTATCAGATGGGAATGTTCAGGATGAAGAGTGCTACTTGAAATTTGTGTTACATGACGCTGCAACCTAAAAAAATTGCAACCTGGAAACTAACTAACTAAACGCTGCAGCCTTAAAAAATTTTGGTGGTGGAGCTAATGGCTTAAAGGCAATACAACTCTACAAATTGAATTCCATTGTTGTAAAGCCATTACCAAGACTTACAACATGTCGTGATTGCATTATTTGTCAAATCGCGAAGGTAAAAAGCAAAAAAAAGCATCCATTTAAAAAGGGTCTTGCATCAAAATCTTTGCAAGAACAAAGAAAGTCAGTTGAAAAACGAGGCACAAAATGCTTGTCCATCATTGCTCGTGGAATTTATCACAATTGTAGTTATACAACTCGCCATGCAGGCATACCGATTTGCAACGAAATTCTGTGGATGCAGAACAAGTTACTTCATCTACAGTTCATGACAAACCTCTTCCGAAAAGAAAAAGTTAGTTATTCTATTATTCAGTACATTCTGAACAATACTATTTATATGTGAAGTAACTGATTTAGTTTTCTTTCTTAAGGAACATCAGCAGCTCATTCACTCTTTCAAAGCCTTTTGACAACAAAAAAATATGGTTGGTATTCAGCATAGTACTTGGCTTTCAAACAATAAAATTAGAAAGCTTGGATCTTTTCTAAATCAAATTAGTCCAGTTCGTCTTCTTGAGCCAAATTTTTAACAGAAATTTGCATCAGTAGGATCTAGTCGAAAGCATTTTTTCATTGCTACCAATGTAAAATTACCAGATTGTAATGAGGTTCGTGACATCGTTCATTGTAACAATTTAAAAACCCTGAAAATATCACAGTTTCAAAAGATTTGATGAGCTCGGACACTGTGAAACTGAAACTTGATGGTGGAGGATTCTTTTTCAAAGCTAGTTTGAGTCTAATTTCTAAACACCAAACAGAACAACAAAGTCCAGTAAAAAAGTAAATTAAATTGGCTTTAAGTGAAAGTTTAGAAAGCTCAGGTGTTAAAAAACAACTAATTGTAGCAATATCTTAAAACACCCCTAAAACATTTGGCAATATCAAACTGGTTTTGCACATAATGCAAGTTAATAAACTAATTGACAAATTGATTCTGTCATGTGACATAAAGCTTGCAAATATTATCTGTGGAATTCAGTCTCACAGTAGCAACTATCCTTGCTGTTGGTGCAACACTGAGTCGATAAATTTGAATAACTGTGGCCGACTCAGAACATTTGGAATAATCAGAGAGTAACATCAAAAGTTTATTTTATCTGGTGCTGATATAAAGAAATGAAAAGAATTCGAGAATGCTGTTTATCCACCAATACTTCAATTCCCAGATGAAATGCTAATTATAGAAGCTATTCCTCCGATGGAACTTTATTTGCTTCTTGGCGTTGTTAACCATCTTATTAAGCACTTGGTTCAAGTATTGCCAAAAACAAAAGAATGGTTGACTTCAATACATATACTATTACAGCCGTACCATGGTAGCGTGGTAATTCAATGGTTGCATAGTACTTCAATGGCAATGATGTCAGAAAGTTGCTGAAAAAAATTGACACACTGAAGCAGCAACCGTGGCTAATAAGGCATTTGGAGCATCACCCATTTGCCATGTTCTACATTTGTTTCTCGGAATTGTTAATTCTTGTTTTGGATGCTCACTCTCTCCAGAATTTGAGAAAAAGATTCAAGAGTTTAAGAACATTTATCTAAAGTTGATTGTTTCTGTCACACCAAAAGTTCATGCTGTCATTTACCATGTTCCACAATTTCTAAAGCACCATAAAACTGGTCTTGGAATTTACAGTGAGCAAGCAACAGAGGCACTCCATTCAAACTACAAGCCTCATTGGCAAAGATTCAAAAGTATTATGTCTCATTTTCCAAACAGCTGTTGAATTGTGTTTTTAATAACAATAGGAAAAAGTTCTTAGAAGCTTAAAAGGGTTCAACGAAGATATTTGTGATAATTAAATTTAAAAATGTTGTGAATAATAATTTTACATAATTGTTGTGTATTTTTTTATTGTTATCAATTTTTTTTTTTTTAATTTAATAAAAAATATATTAAAATTATTTGAGCTTATTTAGGCTTTACAATTCCAAAACAAAGTACTTGAGTGAGAAAATTTGGTAATTTCGAAACTAAATATCTTAAAAATTATAAAAATATAAAAATAATAATTTTTAATTAAAGTGAACATTTTTTCAATCAACAAAAGATTTTTTTTCGGTATATAGTTAGTACATATATAGCCAATCAAAACAAAACACGGCTAAAAATGTGCGCGCGCATAATGGCAAGAAATATTGATCAAAACATTACACGTCTAACAGCTCCTTTCAAAACATAGACAGTGATCGTGACGCTGCATACGACTTGCTGAAAGTAAAATGAAAATCTTCATTCTATTTGCTTTTGTAAGTGTCATCGCAACAGAATTAACAGAGGAGAAGGATGTTATAGTTCTTACAACAGATAACTGGAGTGAAGCTGTCCGAGAAGATAACAATATTTTAGTAGAATTCTGTTAGTAAAAAAATTTGTGACTACATGAACTTAAAACTTATATTAACAAGTTATTAAAACAACTTTTAACACAAAAGTTTTTTTAATAATTAGATGTAATAATCTTTTAATTAAATTTTAGATGCGCCATGGTGTGGACATTGTCAAACACTAGAGCCTGAATATGCCAAAGCGGCTAAAAAATTAAAAGACTTAAAATCAACGATAACTCTAGGAAAAGTTGACGCCACAGTGGAGACAAAACTTGCTGAAAAATATGGAGTGAAAGGTTTTCCAACATTAAAGTTTTTTAAATCCGGAAAAGAGCAAGAATACAATGGTATATAATTTAACAAAATGACAAGCTTTTTTTATGCACTCATAGTATTTTTATGTTTACTGTGTATAGCTTGATAAAAAAAATTCTAATCTCTGTATTGTGTATAACTTGATTTAAAAATATTTAATAATCTGATGCTACATTATGTTATTCTATTTTAGAACTAGTAATTAAATTAGTGTTTTGATCTAATTAATTCTAAAGTTAAGCAAGTAATTAAACCTTAAAAGAGTAGTTAAGATTATTTTATTTTTAGGGGGACGAACTGAGGCAGAAATTATTTCTTGGTTAAATAAAAAAACAGGACCTCCAGCTGCTGTTGTTGCTTCAGCTGAAGAATTGAAAGTATTTGTTGATGCTCGAGAAGTTGCAGTTGTTGGATTTTTTGCTAACCAAGATTCTGATCTTGCTAAAGTTTTCTTAAATGTTGCTGATAGCACTGATGATATTGAATTTGCAATTACCACTCCTTCAAATTCTGGTGAATATGCTGTTACTGAAGATAAAATTGTTGTTTTTAAAAAAGTAAGTTTTATATTTTGTAAGTTGAAGTTTCTAAAAATTATTTTAAGTGCTAAACTTTGTACACTATATTTATCATTTATAATATTTTTATATTATTAAAGTTATGTAATTCATTATTATTGTTGTTATTATTCTAATATATATTTATAATGATAAAATTCATTTGTATAATAGTTTGATGATTTACGTGCTGATTACACTGGAAATGCAGACGAAGCTTCATTAAAATCATTTGTTAGAGGTGAATCAATTGCTCTTGTTACAGAATTTACTGATGAAGTTGCATCAAAAATCTTTGGCGGTGACATTAAATCTCACATTCTTTTGTTTGTTAGTAAAAAAGCAGAAAATTTCAAGGAAACAATTAACCAGTAACTTTAATTTTTGCTATTAAAGTTATATCAAATCATATTTTGGTTATGAATATAACTATAAATAATTTAATATATTTTAGTTATAAATTAAGTTTATATTTATTATATTTTGATTTTAAATATAAATAATTTGGGTATTAGTATTTTAGTTTTATGTGTTACATATGACATTATATTTTGTTATTTTATACAGCATTATTTTGATGTTTTAATTTAAAAGTTTTTCTTGTTTTATTTAGATTTACAGAGGCTGCAAAACAATTTAAAGGAAAAGTTCTTTTTATTTATATTGATTCTGATTTTGATGAAAACTCTCGTATCATGGAATTTTTCGGTCTTAAAGTTGAAGATATTCCAACATTAAGAATCATCAAGTTAGAGGGAGATATGACAAAATATGTTCCAGAAACTAAAGAAATTAATAAAGACACGATATCTTCATTTGTTTTGGCTTTTGTTGAAGGCAAGCTGAAACCATTTTTAATGTCAGCTGATATTCCCGAAGATTGGGATAAGAACCCTGTTAAAGTTCTTGTAGGAAAAAATTTCGCAGAAGTCGTTTATGCTGAAAAGAATGTTTTAGTTGAATTTTGTATGTTTTCTTTATTCTTTTCTTTACATTCGTTGTAAGCAAAGTTTTATAAACAGTATTATGTTTGAATTTTTTCTCATAAAAAATTTACACATTATTAGATGCTCCTTGGTGTGGACATTGCAAACAGCTAGCACCTATTTGGGAAAAACTTGGTGAAAAATATGCAGAAAATCCAGATATCATTATTGCCAAAATGGACTCAACTACCAATGAAGTTGAAGATGTTAAAATTTCCAGCTTCCCAACAATTAAATATTTCCCTAAAGAAGGAGGAGTAAGTTTACTATTTAGTTTAATAAAAATTTGGTGATGAAGCCATATGTAAATCTTGCTTAGAAACATAAGTTAAAAAAAGAATTAGCATTATTCAAAAAAATTTTTTTTTAGGTTATTGATTATAATGGCGGAAGAACATTAGAAGATTTTGTTAAATTTATTGAATCTGGAGGTAAAGATGGCGCTAGTGCTCCTGATGATGATTCCACTGATGAGCCAATTGAAGCTGGAGAAGAAGGTGAAGAAGTCTCTGAAGAGGGAGAAGAAGTTGATGCTTCTAATGTCAAAACTGAATTATAAAGAGATTTTTTTAATTATTTTCAATCATATTTATAATTGTTAAAATCGAAATTAGCTTGGTTCAATATATATTTTGAATTATCTATTTATTAGACAAAATAATGACAAAGCATGTCAGTTAGGTACGCTTTTAATTTTTCATTGTTTTCAAGACAAAAAATTGCTTATTAGCTTTAATCTATTTTTTTAATATGAAAATTACATCTATTTGTAAGGAGCTGTTTGTGTTAGATCTTTCAAAGAATATTTGTTTATATTTTATATTATGAAGATTTTTTAAATATTCAAATGAAAGGCGGATAAAATAAAAAAGATTTATATTTGTAATTTTTCTTCCCCAATTTTACCGACACCTAACTTGCAACTTTTGCAACTTGCAATTTTTGTTAATTTTTAATGGTAAACAAAGAGCAAGTTCTGTTGTTTACATTAAAACAATATCGTGCAATCTGTTTAATCATATGTTTTACTATATAAAAGTTTTTTTATCACCTAAACAAATATGTTGCGTTTTAATTAAAACAAATAACTTTATTATAGATATAACAATTAAACTAAAAGTCAACCCGGAAGTATATTATGCTCGGAAATAATTTAAAGTTTGTTTTTTCCAAAATGTTAATAAAATGATAAAATCATTTTTTTTTTATTATTTCCTGTAAAGTCGCCTAAGTTTATTAGCATCAAACAATTATTTATGCATGAATAGATTTTTTCAATTTTTTCCAGAAATTTGCAAACAGTTTGCAACTTTATGAAAAAAAAAAATAAAAAAAACTAGTACTCGAGAACATCTACTCTTACCGAACTTTCAATACTATCTCGTAATTTCGGTCGTTGAATAAATCACGAACTTAACGTCATTATGAAAACTAAGTTTTAAATGTGTTTTAAGGTGATAATATAATATCAAGTAATACCAGCAATTAAGGAGAGTGTTGCCCCGGGTTCTATATAATTAAGTTTTTTAAATCACCAAAGAAAATACCGAAGAGCGCATAAATAGGTTTTTTTTTTAGTATTATTTTTATCTTAATTAGTCAACTATTTTTATTACTTTGGCCTTATCACTTTTGCTACGCGACTAGTTAAAAGAAATTTAGAATATTTTCTTCAATTAATTTTAAAAAGTTTTTTCTAAATTATGTTTTATTGAGCTGTAATTTTATCTCCGAAAAGAATTCCGCTAGCTTGACATTTTTCAGAAAATGAAAACCGTCAGACTGACGGTTCTAAAATACGGATGTCGTTTTGAATTCCTATATAGTCAGAAATTTTATAAGCTATATTAGTTGTTATTTAGACAAGTCATCTTCCTGTGTTAAGCGTTTTTGAGTTAATTGAATTAGCCATCACTAAATCAATACGCAAGCAACAAGAGCAGACGTGTGAATGGAAGAAGTTTAATAAAGAAAAAAAAAACAACCTTTAAATAAACAATAATAATTTTTTATTTTATTAGTTATTATAATTGATTTTTTTTTTTACTAAAAATTTTTCTTCTTCTTTACTAAAACTCTATTATGGATAGAGAACATTTTGTTACAATGGTTATGTTGAAAGAACTGCTATCGGCTCAAGCAGATACAATGTTAAAATGTTTTAAAGAAAGCTTTAACAGCATTAATGAAAGAATACTATTTTAGAAAAGGATGTTAAGGAAATAAAACGAGGACTTACTTTTGTTGGAAATGATATTTAAACCAAAGTAGATAGTAATATGGCGATTATAAAAGAAACAATAATTGGAACAAAGTCGTTTCAAGGAAAGTTAAACGAGGCGACAGAAAACAAACGCAAAACTGTTGAATTAGAAGATCGCAACCGGCGAAATAATTAAAGAATAGTGGGCATTAAAGAAGGAGTAAACGAAACCAATTAAGATGTATTGAAAAAAAACTAAAACCCTCATTAAAGAGGACCTTAAAACAAATGAGTCTATTACAATTAAAAGAGCTCATAGAGTTGGAAAGTCAGAAAAAAGACCAACGACAATCGTCTGCAAAATACTCAATCGGCAAGATAAAGAGACAATATTAACAAACGCTCGTAAGTTAAATGGAAAAAAAATATTCTTTAACAAAGATTTTAGCGGAGAAACAACGAGAATACGCAAAGAACGTTTTGCTCAAACTAAAATTCATAGAAACAAAGTCAAATATGCGAAGGTTATAACCGTTTAATCGTTAGAGATATGCCGATTAAGAGTAAAACTGGTGACATAACAATTTACGTAAGCTTTTATGATTTGTTTTTAAATTTCTTAATTTAACTTTTTTTAAATGATAAAAAGCAATATGACTAAAATTGATAATTTTAACAATCCAAAAAATGACTTTGAAAACTTTATATCTCCTATTTTAGAAAAATTAAAATCTCAACATAACAAAAACATAACATCACGTATGTGTAAACATGATAAGTACATATTTTTTGCAGGTGATTTAAATATAGATGCTTTACATTACGAAAAGTGTTCCAACATTAAATCTTTTTTTGATTCATTACTTGAATTTAACATAATTCCTTCTATTTTTAAACCAACAAAGGTTACGCAAAAAACTTGTTCTGCAATTGACAATATTTTAACAAACATCTCTTATAATTCTGATTTTGAATCTGGTCTTTTAATTGCTGATTTTTCTGATCATTTCCCCATTTTTCACATTGCACGTGGTATTTTATCTAATAGTGATAATAAAAAATCTCTTGTCACTAAAAGAAACCTTGCTAAAAAAAATCTCGATAATTTAAAAAATAAACTATTTGAGGAGTCCTGGAAAAATGTATACTCAGCTAAGGATCAAAATCAGGCATTTAGCAACTTTACGGCTACTTTTAAATGTGTTTTTGATTCTGTCTGTCCTATAATAACATCTGAAGTAAAAAATAAAGAATTAAAAAATCCATGGATGATGAGTAATCTTATTAAATCGTCTAAACAAAAGCAAAAACGTTATATAAAATTTTTGAAATCAAAAGATGAAGGTGATAAAAAAATATACTAAGCCTATGAACAGTTTTAAAAAAAAAAAATTAGACAAGCTAAAATAATGTATTATTGTAATCTGGTAAATAAAAATGAGTTAGACATAAAAAAAACATGGTCGATTATAAATCAAGTAACTGGCAGAGAAAAAAAGAAATCCTTTAGCATACCTTAAAAAATACTTTGTGATAATAAATTCATTACAAATAAATCAGATATTTACCATGAACTTAACAAACACTTTGTAAATCTTGGTCCCAGTCTAGCTTCAAAAATAGGGATGCCAAATAAGAAGTTTGATAAATTTATTAGAGAAAAACCCCTATCATGTATATCAAATGAAAAACTATCCTATAAAACATTTAACAAAGCTCTGTCTGCACTAAAGCAAAATAAGTCATGCGGATATGATGACATTACTAGCAATGTAGTCATTGAATGTATTAGAAAACCCTTATTTCATCTAATATCGTCTTCTTTTGAACACAGTAGTTTTCCTGATATGTTAAAAATTGCTAAAGTCAATCCTGTTTATAAAAATGAAGGTTGTAATAACATCTCTAACTACCGTCCAATTTTTTTTTTTAAGTTGATTAAGGTGCCTCAAGAAATCCTAACGGTCTTATCACAGAACACCGCGGAAGAGCATTTAGTAGGAAGTTCGCGATCTTTCTAACCGATGTCGCAAAACTTGCCAGAGGTGGAGTTTGAACCACGGATCCTACGTTTCTGAGGCAAGTGCGCTACCACTGTGTCACGACTGCTTATTTCCCTCCTACCAGTGTTCTCTAAAGTTTATGCAAAAATAGTCTACAATCGAGTTTATAATAACTTGAAGTTAAACAAACTTTTATATGAAAATCAATTTGGTTTTCAAAAAAGTTGCTCAACAGAATATGCTATCATTGAACTTACTAATAAAGTATTTCATTTTTTTGATAAAGGGGATCATGTACTGAGATATTTATAGACCTTTCAAAAGCATTTGATACAGTTGACCACAACATCTTTCTATCAAGTTTAAAACATTATGGTTTCAAAGGACTAATGTAAAAATGGGTAAAAAACTATCTGAGAAACAAAAAGCAGTTTGTAATTAACAAAGAGTCATAAACTCAAGTGTTCTTGATATTTCATAAAACAGGTCAATCAATGTCTCTACCGTTAAAAATTCAACAATTGCTCATTAACAACATAACAAACGGGAAAAATATGCAAAGTTTCTTGGTGTTAAAATTGATGAAAATTTGTCATGGAGAAATCATATTGGACACATTGAATCAAAAATATCATCAGAAATGGGTATTTTATATAAATGTCGCCCGTTTCTTGATTTCTGTTCAAGAAAAAAACTTTACTTTAGTCTAATTCACAGTCATCTCACATATGCTAATATAGTGTGGGCTAATACACACAAAATTAATCAAGCTACAAGGCTTGCAAAACCATGCTTGAAAAGCAATTCATTATCTAGGTAAAATGGACAATCCAATTCGATGACAAATATGAAAGTCTTAAACTTGGAAAAACTTAATTTATATCAGATTCTTATTTTTATGTTCAAATATAAAAATAATATGCTACCAAAATCTTTTTTAGACATATTGTTGTCATCATTTTCTCAAAGTTATAATCTGGGATCAAATAGCTTCCATAACTATTATAATAAAAAAAACTACAACCCGGGGTTCTTAATTTTCAATTATGTTACAGAGTCCCAAAATAAGGAAAAACTTGAAAACCAAAAACTAAAAGACTTAAATGGAATATCGTTGTTTAAACGGCAAGTAAAACTGCATTTCTTAGTTTGTAAAAATAATTGTAATAAATTAAAAAAAAAAAATTATTAAAAGTAATATATATATATATATATATATATATATATATATATATATATATATATATATATATATATATATATATATATATATATATATATATATATATATATATATATATAACAGTAGAAATAGTAATTGCTAAGCTAATTACAAAAAAATTATTTCTAAGTTTACTTAATTAACTTTTTATATAGACATAGATATACGCCAAATGGCGCTATTAAAGGAATCTGCGAAAAGATTTTTTTTGGAGTTTTATAACCAAAAATGCTGAATCTTTTTTGATTTCCTATTTTTTTTAGGTATTAAAGTATAGAAAAAAAAAAAAAAAAAAAAAAAAAAATTTATATATATATATATATACAGTGCTGGCCAAAAAGATCCGACCACTAAGGTTTTTAGACAGAAACGTAATACCACTTCAATTTAATGATAATATGATTGAATTAAACGCAACAAACAACATTCACATAAGTCAGTGACA